CGGTAGAAAAAAGAAAAACGCTCACCACCTCGAATTTTCATGTCAATTTTTTCGACTCACCGATCAGCAGGAATTCAGGGCGGCCATCCTCCGCTGCAAATCTGGGAGAAAAAGAATTCAGATTAGATACGAGGATGAACTGAAATGATCGCGAGAGAGGCGCGCGCGGATACGAGCGTGTTAACCGTTCACGATCGTTGAGACTCGGCGATTTCTCCCCCGAGGGACACGCCTCATCACTTCGCGATCGCAAAGAGATCGTCAAGAACACGCAAGAACACGGAAAGTCGGTAGAGACCTACCTTCGAGCCGACCCTGCTTAGCCCGAACCGGCTCCTCCGGTACGGCAAACTGCACCCCCGAGAACCGCATCCTCACCGCGCGTCGTCACACGAGCTCTGGCGAGTCTGAAACAAGTGAATTTTCTGGTTAGTGCTGTCAGTAGACAACAACACGTGAACGAAGTGCAGAGGCTCGAGCAGAACATCGTCCCACGGCCGTATTAAAACCTAGTCCGGTTTCCAAATTTCAAATAGGGCCCGGATAACTTTATCGGATCCGACACACGTAATAAGGAGTGAAACGCACTGCTGCATGCAATGCCTGATAAAATAACCCTGATAAAATTGTCTGAAATCGAGAAACCTGATGAAAAATGTCCATCAGGACCAAATCAGGCATCCAAATAATGACGTCATCGCTGGTCAGGGTATAATCTGGAAAATATTGCAAGGCAATTGATATTCCGACCGGATAAAGATCACTACTCATAATGCTTTCTTACACTGACAGAAAAATATAGTTGAATTAACTATAATCTCACTATATTTTATAGTTCATTTTGGCGTCAACCATATTTTTATAATTCGTGGGACCTGCAAAATATAGTAGAATAAACACAAATATATAGTCAATGATTGTCTTAAATAATTGTTTAGTTACTTTTACCACATATATGGTAATTTCTCATTCACAAATATATAGAGATGTGCGAATCAAGAATTTTTATATCGAATCGAATCTCAGTTTTTTAATTCGAATTCGAATCGAATCTATGAAACTTCATTCGAATTCGAATCGAATCATTAAAAAATTTAACATGACTATTAAACATGCACATAATGATGGAAGATTTTAATATGAAAGGGGATATTGATATTGTAATATCATCTTACAGTAAAATATATATTTAAATATTTAAAGTAATTTATAATTAAGTTATTAATTATAAGTTGATTTAATTACAAGTTAAGGGTTCAAACATACAGGCCCAGATGGCTCGTTTTGAACCTGATGCATGTAAATATAATGCACGTTAATATATTTTATTCGTAATTGAATCTTCGATTCGAAATTTTCGAATTATTCGGATTCGAATCATAGGAATTCGGATTCGAATCGAATTGAATTACATTACATTAGATTCGATTCGATTCGAATTCGATTCGACATAAAAATTCGAATAGTTCGCACATCTCTACAAATATAGTGAGATTTAATATTCATATAGTTACATCTGTCATCATTTAGCAAATATTCTGGTAATATTGACTATATAAAAGAGTTACTTTACCTACCATTTTATATTTGTATCCATACAATAATTTTAGTTTAACTTAGTATAATTCTTAGTAAAAATATATGGTTGGTTATACTATGCCTATATCGTAAGTATTACCAATATTATGGTAATATTTACTATAAATATGATATTTCGAACAATAATTTAGTTACTATATCATTATAGTTCCAAATATCATATATTTTTCTCTCAGTGTACAGCTTTGCCTAGTCATGCGATATCAGACATAAAAAATTAGCCGTATTTGATTTCTGCTCGGGGGCCCGAGACCATTTCTCGAGATTTTCCTAAATTTCCAAGGATGAGTTTGTAGAAACATGGAGAGGGAGGAGTTCCGAAAGCCATCCGAGCTGCCGCACATTTAATGCCAATGGCGTTGAAACAGTATCAGAAATTGATACGACACTACTTGCAGATTGATCTATGCATTGCGATCGTACGCTTAAGTGATAACAAACGAATGTTTGTTGCCCTAACGTAGCCCACTGCGACGTAATCGCTCCATCTTCGAATTTAGAACAACGAAAATAAATACATCGCAGCAGGCAGAGAAAATCACGTAATATCATCAGCGACGTATAATGTTACTTCAGCTCTTTGTCGGCATTAATCTACCTCGTCGCTGAAGATTCATTCAGGGGAATTCATTTGAAACTATTTAGAGTAATCTCTCCCACAATCATCTCAATTAGACGTAAGTGCTTTTCAGACCGTCCGGGACATCTCAAGAATATTTCTCTGCATTTCTAAAGATACTCTTCTAAACTAAATCGAGATGCGGTATAATGCTTGCGGTATAATACTCACGTATTCAGAACACAGAATGCCCCCCCCCGCCGCTGCGATGTAGCGAGATGCACAATCGCGCACACGAATATCACACGCGATGCGTAATATCACGCGCGCTTGAATCGCGTCGGAAAATCGGGGAAAATCGCGCGCGCGACGTCTCCCAATCGGCACGCACTCGCGTCGAAGACTGCTAGATCGCCTGGTTGGTCGCGCACTTGTACGTTTGTATTATTGTTCTCAAGGGCGTGCGAGGACTTCCAAAACCAGCCGGCGCGGCGCGCTCGGCAAAAACTTATTACGTCGCGTCGCTCGTTTGTTTACTTTTCCGTTGCGACGTGTTTCAGCAGAAAAACACTGCGCTATGTGCGAGGTGACATATCAGTATCGGCTTTATGTGTTTCTTCGATGACGATAGTAATATTGGGTATTAAACTTAATTGTTTTGTGAAAATGAACGTTTATTTCGAAACAAAATAAGTACATGTTATGTCAAAGTATTGTCCATCGTTAGCTACAACTTTTTCCCATCTTTCTAGTAAAAAGCAGATTTCTCGGCGGAAGAACGACTCGTCTTTTGTGGTTATCCATGAATCGAGCCATTTTTTGATGTCTTCTCTAAAGAACCGAAGTGCTGGGCAGAAAGGTGATTCTGCATGGATCGAAACAAGTGGAAATCAGAAGGAGCAATGTCTGGTGAATACGATGGGTGGGGTAGAACATCCCATCCGAGCAGCTCTAGGCGTTTCCTTCATCGGTTTAGCGTGAATGTGACCGAGTATTGTCACGCTGGAAAATCATTTTGTCGAAAATCTTTTGGCGTATTCTAGTCGTTTTTCCCATCGACTTCAAACGTTTAGAGACGGCCATTTTGGTTACATTTAATGCTTCTGCCAATTCTTCAAGCGTTTGACATTGATCTTCGTCCAGCAATGCCTTCGACGCTTCGTCTTTAAACTTTTTCGCTTGACCAGGGCGTTCCTTGTCTTCCAAATCAAAATCTCCACTTTTGAATCGTCTGAACCAGTACTCACAAGTTGAGACGATGGAGAGAATCCCATAATCCCCATAAGCTTCGGACAGCAAACCAAGACTTTCAGCTGCCGATTTTTTCCAAGGGAAACAAAAAAGTAACGCTTCCCGCAAATTGCGTTTCGTTGGCACAAAACGAAATATTGAACGACATATTGAATGCGCTGAAAAAATATGTTATTTACACTTCGACCAAATGAAATATATTGATTCTTAAAGCCTAATGACAGGGCTTTCATATGAAGTTGGCTTCAGTATGGGCCGATGCCATTAGGTGCTCATTGCGCCATCTCTTGTAAATCCTTTAAAATTAAGTTTAATACCCAATATTTTCACGGCTACGTATCGGGAATGATAAACACGCAGCGAACGCTGCGTTGTATTTTGTCGACATGGCTGGACATCTGAAAGCGGCGCGTTAAGGAGAGGAGGAATCGCCGCAACCTTCCTTGAACGCGAGCGAACTTTGCTGTCACAGACTGTTGGGATCGATCGGACGAGTTGCACAAAATTGCATATAAGTGATAAATGAAGTTTCCGCGTGACGCACGTGTGGAACGCAATACACGGATTCTCAGCTCAAAAACAACCATCGGAAAAGTCGCGAGCGCGCGCCCGCGAATGTCCGTTATACGCAAATACGACGGAAACCTCATCCGCGCGCGGCGCTCGTTATCGGGGTCCCTTTTTCGACGATCTCGCTCCGATAAATTGAACGTCATCACTTAGTGACCGTTAAATTGCTCACGCCGCCGGCTAATGAAAGATTAAACGCGTTTATGGCGCCGTTGATCGCGGGTGTGAGATGCGGCAGGTTTATTCTGTCCCCGACGTCGGCGCATTAATTCACGGGTGGCCCGATTATCGAACGACCGAAGATGCGAGCGCGTAAGAACGAAAAAAAGAACGACATCGGGACGAGAAACGACGGGAAATTCGGTTAGAATGAGTCGCCTGGAAATTTCTGCTGGCAAAATTCCGCTGGTTTGACAAGAGTCCACCACCCCAAGCGGTGTGGAAGTCGCCACTTGTAGGTTCTTCAGAGGACCCGAGAGGAGCCGGCAAAACCGTAGATTAAATACAATGAAAAGAGTTTGATGTGGGCTTCACAGAATACTAGACCAGCGTTAGATTGAGATCGAGAGCGAGATGAGAATTTCGACCAGGGTGTAGACTCTTTCGGACCTAAGTCCGTTATTCTGTCCCTGAAGTTCTCTTTACACGTTCCCTGTCGTTTTACATCACGTCGTTGGACTCGTTGAAACACGTCGACAACACCTGCGACTGAATAGCGGTCAAGCGTGTGCTGAATGGCGCGATTCAAAACGACGGGACGAGAGACGACGTGTCGGGAAGAGGGGAGAGCTTCAGTGAAATGCTTCATTTTCAGACGCGTTTACGCGCGTAAAAGTGACGCGCCTGGCCGATTTGCGGGTGGAACGGTCCGAGATTGCGCGAGCAGTCGGCAGAGAAATCCGCACGGTCGAGCGGTGAGAGGGGAATTTCGAGGGCACGAGGGTTCGGCAACGATGATCGGCCCGAACGAGCCAGAAGTGTGTCACATGCTGTATTTTTTGTTTTCTGCTTCTTGTTACAGGTCTCTCGAGGGCGCCGATGTACCCGTTTTCGACAAGCCAGTATCCGTATCCCATGCTTAGTCCGGAAATGACGCAAGTCGCCGCTTCCTGGTAAGTCGACGCGAAATCCCGGCGCTTCGAGGAAGTCGCGGTGAAAAAGACACAAGGTGTTTTTTATTCGTTCCTTTGACCGCCGTTGCGCAAGTCGACAGGGCGGAGGGGGTTCTCCTACCTGCGTGTAGGTAACGTGCGGCCCGACGAGAGAGAGAGAGAGAGAGAGAGAGAGAGAGAGAGAGAGAGAGAGAGAGAGAGAGAGAGAGAGAGAGAGAGAGAATTTCGATACAAGGTGATAATAATTATATCCATGCCGTTCTGTAATTTGCTGCATTACACGCGCGCGCGTTACAATAATATAATATTATCTGAATTTCAATCGCACACACGCATGCACACACACATACACACACGCCTGCGCGCGCGAGTGGAGCGGGCGAGAGAGAGAGAGAGAGAGAGAGAGAGAGAGAGATCAGAGCGGACGGTATTCAATTTCGCGAGATAAACGCGAGCGCGCGACGTTCGGTGCGCGCAGCAAGAATCACTTTACATTTCCAGATACTCATTATATCGCATTTTATATATTAATTGCGCGCATTAAACGATCGATTCGCTCATCGTCCGTGCGCGACACACGAGTGAAATGCCGCGTGGAGGGCATCGGATTGCGAAGCGCGCGCTCGCGCTCCTGATGATTTGACGAATCGCCCGCGCCCGCCACTCGAAACGCAAAGGGCGCGAGAATCGCACAAAGCGACTCATTCGTTAAATATTCATAAGTATACCAGAAAAAAATTTAAGAGAGAGAGAGAGAGAGAGAGAGAGAGAGAGAGAGAGAGACAGAGAAATAGGCAGAGCGAAGGGGGGGAAACGTCGCCGCGCCTCCCTCGATCGAACATTTCTTTTTCCTTCTCTTTCTTTTCAACGAAAATTCCGTCCCTTTTAACGTTAAAGCGCGCGTATTTGCATGATAAACGGTCGCCGGGGTTTCCCCGGCTCGAGATATGGCCGCTTGTCTTGTTAATTCCCTCTCTCGTTACTAACGATTCCCGAACGCTCTCCTGGAGTCGCGGATAAAGCCGACTTTTATTGGCGATTTCCGTTTCTTTTCTCCCCCGGCGTCTCCCGCTTCCCCTTTCTCTTTATCTCTCCCTACGACGTCTACCGCCGAGGTATCGAGGATCGTTGAGAACGTAAGGAGACGCGCGCCGATAATCTCGCATTCAGGTCCGATTCTGCGAGAAAATCTGGCCACCGAGTATGTATGTGTACGTGCGTGTGTGTGTGCGTGTCCAGACGCTCGGCTTTGGCTTTGGCTGGGCGTTTGGTCATCCCGTCAGTTCCGGTCTATTAGGTCGGATACGGAAGCTCTCCTCGTGCTCATCCTCGTAGACGTCACCCTCTCTCCGCGCGAGGACACGGATCCTCGCGATCGTCGGCTCTTCGGAGGAGAAGACCCGAACGAGAGGTCCTCGTTGGTCTTCCCCGTTCGTTATTTGCTTTCCGCACGGGTCGGCCCAAATTGCGATTTTCCACGGGTGATTAGCCGCTCCTTCTTCTCAATTAGAAGGACCCACTCGATCTCTCGTCGCTCGGGACGACGAGGCCTCGCGCGAGAAACACCCGGACGCGCGCCCTTGGCCGCGTGTTATACGGTATTCAGCTCTCGCGGTTTTCAAGGGATGGCCCGTCCCTAAAGAGAAAGTCGCCGGGACGCGCGGTACTGAGGAGCGGGAGGAGGAGGGCCACTCGCGATAATGAGAAGGTCGGCGGCGTTTTTATTACGCAAAGTGCGCGGGACTGTTCTCTCTCTTTTTCTCTCTCTCTCTCTCTCTCTCTCTCTCTCTCTCTCTCTCTCTTTATTCCTCCGACAACGGGAACACGAGCAGCAACGTTCGCGAAGGAGCGAGGACTAATTACCGGTACGAGTCGGCGGGCCGCGATGTTAATGATAATTGACTGCGTCCGAAGCGCCGGTTGACACAACGCAAATATGGCGGGTACTCTTCCCGCTCGGTGAACCGGTCGCCGATATGTCGCACCTTCGTCGGAGAAACGTCACGTTCGCGGAATCACGATTGAGCGACCGTGATCGCTGTCGATTGTACAAGGTGTTTCAGATCACCCGGGTCACCCGATTTTTTCGTAAACGCGACATTTTAGAGAAAAATGTTTCAGACGAAAGTTGTAGGGCTTCAAAGAATCTATTTACTGATGCTACAAATTTGACCTTGGGATGACCTTGAAAAGCCCAGTCAAGATCAACATAAAAATCTTAAATGGAAACTCCCAATGTTTTATTACACCGTCTTTTTCCATCAATTAATTTGAACAACTTTTGTCCGAAACATTTTTTTATTTGCCTAATATTTTTTGAGATATTTAAGGATAACTTGGTAACTTTTTCAATATTTAACTTACGCGATATCTCGCTAACTGTTTGTCGAGATAAAAAAATGGTACTAG